GGTGACAAATTGGATGGATGGATGGATGGATGGATGGATGGATGGATGGATGGATGGATGGATGGATATATGCAGGCCTACGCATGAAACAAATGTAATAAATTTGTAACTTCTGGCCTATATTAGAGCCTGAATGCGCAGGGGTTCCCTGAGGCCTGAAAAATATTTCAAAGGTTCCTCCAGGGTCAAAAGTTTGAGAAAGGCTGGCTTAGATTTATTACCATGATTAAACAAACCATGGCACAGTGCAACTTAGCCAGTTTTTATGGCATGTTCAAAAGACACATGAGGTTTAGAGTATACTGTTGTACAATATCCTGCATTTGGTTACTGGATTGTTAACCATTTTCAGGTTTCACACAATGCAATGAATCATAAATAAACGCAGGAGGTTAGGACTGGGCAACATGTAAAACCACAAGAATACTCATCAAGCATGTTGTATGAATGCACTTGCTAGGTCTTAACTGACCTGGTTAAGCATGAACAGCAAATCCACCCTTGGTCTGTTGAGTTCAGAATTGCCTGTGCTAACTGAGTTATGTACCCACTGATTTAAACTGGGTCAGCAACATGGCTTCCACAGACCAGGACATCTGCCACCCCACAAAATTAAAATATATATAAAAAAGAGAAGCCAACATCTTCTGGGCAATCTCAAGAAACCAAGGTTTTTTGTGTTTTTTTTTTAGAAAGCAGCACACTTAGCCATGGCCAGACTATATGCCAGACTTGGTCTGACATGGTTGCCAGTCATTCCAATAAGCCATGGGTTATTTTAACCAGGGTTTTGTTGACTAAGCCACAATGGCTGGGTTCACCCACCATGCTGAAACACTGTGTGGGTTGTTCATCTCTGGCTCCATGCAATGCCTGAATCCAGCCACTATCATTTGCAATCCATAGCTTATGTCTTAACACTGCATGTGAAGTCAGCCATTGCGGTTTGGTCAACAAACCCTAGTTAAAACAAAACTTGGCTGTGTGTGACTGTGAACCCCATCAGTCTGAGTGTTGCAGAGCTTTCCTGAAGTTGAGGGCAGAGTTTTTCCAGGATAGAAAGTGATGCTGAGATGAACCCCAAACCTCCTGCAGGCAAAGCACAGGCTCTACTGTTGAGTCACAGCCCCTCCTCTGTCTTCTCTTAATCTGAGGCAGCTGGTGGGCAAACCTTTTCCTGCAGCAAGACATGGAGAATGTCTTGAGAAAAGCTCTGCCTGCTCTAACAGTTCTCTGTTGCCCATATGCCAGTGTGCTGCACATTCATGAAATTCTGACTCAAGGCACAAAATTCACTGCCTCAAGAAAGGGTGAGAGTGTTTGACACAAAAGAGAAGTAAAAGAAGAGGGAGCCACCAACAATTACCACCACAGTTGCTCAGTGGAACCTCCATGTACTGGAGCAATCTGCTGCAGACAAGCTCGCTGATTTGGAACCTCTTACAGTAAGGAACACATTCTGCTCCTGGCACTAGAGGCTCCCTATAGCCAGGGCCCTCCTTTCATTCCGGAGGGCAAGAGCCACTGCTTCAAAGCTGAGCCTTCACCTACCTTCCAGTCCATTGTATGCTGATGGTTGGCAAACTTCCTGATTCTCCTTTTTGGGTTTCATGGGGCACCAGGAACCATCCTCCATGAACTGAATTTCATCACAGTCCGTAACAGAGTTAAGGATCTCCATGAACAGCCTGGGGGGGGGGGGGGACAATGGGAGGGGGGAGAAAGAAATATGCCCAGGAGCAATTCAGAACAGGGACAGTTGATGGATAGCACTGGATACTCTGGGAGGAACTGAGTTTGAAACTTTCCTACCTTCCAGAAACCACCTTGGCAGGATTCCCACTGGATGCCAAGTCTTAAGTCCCCAACAGCAGGCCAGTGTCTCCCAGGAGAGCTTCAGGGGACACTCATCGTCTTGCAAGGTGTGAGCCATACCATCTTCCCCCAATTCTATTTTTTTTGAGCCCATATCTGAAAAGGTTGCTGATCCCCACACTAGGCTCCCTTGAGGTTCCTTGGGTTTGGCTTCCCAGAGTTATATGTAAACCATGGTTTAAGGCATGAAGCCAGTCAAATGTATGATTTGATGCCAAGTGCAGGTATTTAGAGTTGATAAATACCAAAAATACCAGATAACCAGTTAAGTAGTAGGGTATGGACACAATTAACTGTTTTGCTCTAATAATTCATCACCACAGTGCCAGTTTTAACACAGCCAATGAAATTTGAGGGTGTGCCCTCAGAAACTCAGTAGCCACCAGATCCTGAGATGCATCCTATGCCCCTAACCAGCCTGGCAGAGAGAAGAGGGATTCCTGGAGCAGGTTTTCTGGATATTCAGGAGGCATCCCCTGAATTCCTCTGAGCAGCCTCTTTTCCAGCCCATTCGAGCCTTTGGTTTTTCTGGACTCACAACAAACATTTTCTCTTCAGAACTTCTTTTTTTTCTCAATTTTCCTAACTGTCCTCTGACAACTGAACCTGAAAATCACTGAAGAATTCTGAGCCTTTCCTCGGAAGGGCAAACAGATTCCCTGTTATTCTTAAACTTACAGGGTTGAAGTCTGCTTACAGTGGGAATGCAGTTAGCAAGGACTGAATTTTAATTATATTTTTCCCTAATCTGAAAATAGGTTTTGCTACCCTTTATATCTTGATTAGTTTCCATTTTACCCTACGCTATATTTTATACACTGCAATAGCTTCCTCTCATTAATTATTTTTATTACATTGTAAATGATTCATTTATGGCTTAATTGTTACAAAGTATACGGATCTTATAAATCCCATTTCTACTCAGTTTGCATATTATTTCAACACATTTTAAACAGATGCTTTGCAATCTTAATTCATTGGCCTCCTCCATCAGCTTTCTGGAGAGCATGGCTAAAAGAAACGTGGTGTCTCAAAGTCACTGGGAAAGCCTGCGTTGTGCGATACTGTTGAAAACAAATGGGGCTACCAAAGAATCCTGACAAGTTTCCAGCTACAACAGCCTAAAACTGTGTTTGGCCCGTAGAATTATAAAAAACATGCATTCTTCAAAGAATTTTTCCCCGGAAATCAAGTGCACAAACCAGGTTTGTTCTTGTCCAAATCTGACCACCCCCAAGAAGAACCTAGACAACCAGGACAATAACAAATCCTGTCAGTTCAGCTCCAACTTCATGCATATACAGTGGTACCTCTAGTTACGAACTTAATCCGTTCTGTGACTCTGGTTGCAACTCGAGTTGGTCTCAAGTCGAG